AATAGACAAAATGATGCCAAACACATTATCAGTTCTGCCATACCACAGCAAGAGGAGGAAGTGGCTAATTCTATTAAGAATGGAGACAAAACCTTTTTAGGTACATCAATGATAAAAGGAGAACATACAATGGAATCTCTAAAATGAAAACTGGATACAACACTTATGTTACAGGAAGAACTTGAATGTAGCAAACCATTTAAACAATTACCTCTGTTCAGTCTTCTCAGATATGAGTTGCACTAACAATAACAAGTTGGGGGATTATATTGATTCTGATAATGATAGTTCATTTTCAGGATCTCTGGAGACAGAAGAAACAAAGGGTCTGGCTTGGTTAAAGCTTATAAAAGCAACAGTATTCAACCCTACAGTTGAGTCAAGGTACAGGCATAACTCAATTTACAAAATTTTCGTTTTATGAATGAAGATCCATTGAAAATAATGCCTCGGTTTCCAAATTTTTTTCGCAATATGAATGGATTAATTGGTTTTCAACGCATTTACAATTTTTTTTTAAATCATGTCCCTGTACACTACTATGCCTGTAAAGTGAACTTTATAAAGAGTTTTGAACAGATAAGACTTTTTTTTACTTTCTTATGACCTCCAGAATGGATTAATTGATTTTCAATGCATTTACAAATGTTTTTTTAATTATGTCCCTGTACAGTATTTATGCCTTTAAAGTGCACTTTATAAAGCGTTTTGAACAGATAAAAGACTTTTTATTTTTACTTTTTTCTGACCTCCGGAACAGATTCATTTGTTTTCAATGCATTCGTATGAGAAACTGTGTTTCGGTTTACAAATTATTTGCAATACAAAAATGTCCAGCAGATCGTATTAAATTTGTAAACTGAGGTACACCTGTATAGCTGTTGGTCCATTACCAGATCTTTTTAATAAAACTCTTCTAACAAGTTCCCAATGACTGGGGAACAGCTGATATTATACCTATCCACAAGAAGGGTAGCAAGGTAGAAGCTGGCAATTAGAGGCCAGTTAATTTAGCATATGTTGTAGTCAAAGTAATGAAATCACTCCTAAAAAAGGAGGATACCTGGCCACTGAAAAACACAATTTGCTGGACCCAAAACAGCAGTGCTTTATTGTCAGCATATTATGTCGAACTAATCTGATTTATTTTTTTTACTATATCACTAATAATGTGGACCAGGGTGGTGCTGTGAACATAGCCTATCTTGATTTTAGCAAAACATTTGATACAGTACAACATAATGATCTAGATCTAATAAACCAGAGTGTGGTTGTAAAGGATGTTCATATGGAACAGAAACCGCTAGTGGTATACTAATTGTGTGCCACAAGGCTGCACTAGGTCCTGTTATATTTAATATATTTGTAAGTCATATAACTAATGTGTCTATGTGTAAGGTATGTACTTTTTCTGAGGACACAGGTGAGAAATAGTTATAATAGAGTTGATATCCCTGGAGGTGTCTGTAAGATGGATCATGATTTGGCATTGCTGAAAGATTGGTCAAATCAGTGGGCAGTTGAATGTTTCTAACTGTAAAATACAAAATATACAGTACAATAGTGGGGGTGCAGTTTGTCCAGCATTACAAAGAAAACAAAATTGCGAGCACATACAGTTGTGGCCAAAATTATTCAACCCCCAATGCTGTAAAGGGGTTTAGGGACTATAGTGTACATTTGGAATTGTATTCAGAATCAAATCCTACAAGGACGTTGTGCAACTAAAATGACATCAATTTGTTTATGTAATACAGTAGTAAATGGTTCTTATGTGGTTTTCTTCATTGCCACAATTATTCAACCCCTTAAAGACTACCACTCTGAAGAACAGAGGTTCATACAGGTGCTTTCCATCAGGTATTGAAAACACCTGTGGATGTCACCGAGCAGCAATCAAGCATAATAAGCACCAATTAGGCAGCTTTAAAATGACTGTGATACTCAGCTCCTTGTAGACATTTACTGGTGTGGTTACAAACATGGTGAAGGCAAGAGAATGGTCCAGGAAGACAAGAGAAGAGGTGATTTCTCTTCACAGGAAGGGCAATGGCTATAAGAAGATTGCAAAGATGTTAAACATACCAAGAGACACCTTAGGAAGCATCATTCGCAAATTCAAGGCAAAGGGCACTGTTGAAATTAATGCTGTGCGCTACCTGAAGCGTAGAGTGGAGAGAAGTCCCCGTGTGACTGCTGAGGAACTGAGAAAAGATTTGTCAGATGTGGGTACAGAAGTTTCAGCCCAGACAATAAGACGCACACTGCGTAATGAAGGCCTCCGTGCCAGAACTCCCAGGCGTACCCCCTTGCTGTCTCCAAAGAATAAAGAAAGTCGACTGCAGTATGCCAAAAGCCATGTGGACAAACCACAAAAGTTGTGGGATAGTGTTCTGTGGACTGATGAAACAAAATTAGAACTGTTTGGGGCCATGGATCAACGCTATGTTTGGAGGAGGAAGAACAAGGCCTATGATGAAAAGAACACCTTGCCTACTGTGAAGCATGGTGGAGGGTCAATCATGCTTTGGGGCTGTTTTGCTTCTGCAGGTACAGGGAAGCTTCAGCGTGTGCAAGGTACCATGAATTCTCTTCAGTACCAGGAGATATTGGATGGAAACGTGATGCAGTCCGTCACACACCTGAGGCTTGGGAGACGTTGGACCTTTCAACAGGACAATGATCCCAAGCATACCTCCAAGTCCACTAGAGCATGGTTGCAGAGGAAAGGCTGGAACATTTTGGAGTGGCCATCGCAGTCACCAGACTTAAATCCGATTGAGAAACCTCTGGTGGGACTTAAAGAAAGCAGTTGCAGTGCGCAAGCCTAAGAATGTGACTGAACTGGAGGCCTTTGCCCATGAAGAATGGGCGAAGATACCCGTAGATCGCTGCAAGACACTTGTGTCAAGCTATGCTTCACGTTTAAAAGCTGTTATAACTGTAAAATGGATGCTGTACTAAGTACTAAGATTGAATGTCACTTGGGGGTTGAATAAAACTGATAATGCTGTGAGCACAGAAAAGACATTTGTGGTTATTTCATTATAACTGTTATGTTATATTTGTCTGACCTACAAGTGCCTCTTTAATGTAAATGTAAGCAAGATGACTGAATGATCAAAAGCAATGTCAAACTGGCCAAAACACTCAATTTCAGTGGGGGTTGAATAATTTTGGCCACAACTGTACTTCAGATGAATGCAAAACAAGCAAGCAGTGCAGCCATGCAATGGGAAAAGCAAGTAGAATTTAAGACTGCATCACTAGTCACCAGCGAGAGGAAGGAAGTCCTGATTCACCTACTTTATGTAGATCTTCATATAGACCTCATTATGCCTGGTTCACACCTATGCATGTTGAAATCTGCTATGAGAAAAAAAAAATCCCTGACCCTATCCAAAAACACAATAGCTAAAAATACATACAGTACTTGTGAAGGTGTCCCATAGGAAACCATGTTAAATTGTCTGTAGTGAGTTTCTTCAAAACACAAAAAGCACTGAAAAATGCAGAGGTGTGAACCAGGCCTAAGAATACTGTGTCCAGTTCTGGAAACCTCACTCACAAAAAGATGGTGATAAGATAGAGATGGTCCAAAGATGGGCAACACAAATGGTGAAATGTCTTAGGCATAAAACATACCGGGAGAGACTTCAGTCCAGTGAAAAGAAGGGAAAGGTGAGACATGATTAAATACATCAAGGGGGTAAATAAGGTTTAGGAGGGCAGTATTTTCAATATGAAGCCAAGATCAAGAACATGTGTTTATGACCTCAAGCTAGCAGGAGGAAAATGTAAAACTAGTCTTAGAAATATTTTTTGAAAGAGTAGCTGATGCTTGGAATAGATTTCCAGCAGAGGTAGTGAGTTGGCCAACAGTAAATGGATTCAAACGCACTTGAGACAAATCTAGATCTACCTTCAGATGACAAAATAAAGAAACATGTATATTTTGAAAAAAAAAATGGGGCAGACTCGATGGATCACTTGGTCTTTTTTTCTGCTGTCACTCTTTTATGTCTCTATGATTGGAATATAACATGCATTTTCAGGAGGTGATCAGCAATTGCAACTTACACATTTCTCAAAGATCAGGTTTCCTTTAACAAAACAGTAAATGCACATAATCTCATACTGCAATAGTTTATTGGTGAATTTGTCCTAACTACAGCTTTCCTGTAAGTGTATGCCTTTCCTTACAATGAGTCACCTCTTGATAAAACAGTTGATAACATAAAAATGTCGCTGAGTATTAAGAACAATTTACATTGGTTCCATGCTACTTTAGAAAATGCTGTTCTTGCCAATTAATCACTTAAGTAAGTATTGTGGAAAATAAATCAATTTTCCCAGCACACATTTTCAAAATCTATATTAATAAGTATGTCAAGAAAGGACATCATCCAACTAACACTATGCTTACATCAGATAAATCACTTATCAACAACCTGTGCATAACCTCTGATTACCCCTCAGTAAAAAAAAAAGTAGACATTTTTATGTTAATCACCTTCCGATATGATGTCAAAATAACAGCTCAAGAAAAATTATACTGAGTACATCCTAGCTACTGTATGTTTTTGTTTGATGCTGATCTTTCAGTTTGGATCTACACACTTAAGTTTTCCGTGGATATTTTCAAAAAGTCAGGTGTTTAGTTGAAAGTGGGAAATATAGGCCACAGGTATTACAGATGATGCCATCTATCAAGATGTTAGTTCAGCTCCCTTTCAAATTCACATCATAACCCTCCACCATAAATCAAACCACACATTGCATAGAGGTCTATTTATAAAGCAGAAAATTTTACTTTTACAAACATTCTTTGCTGGAAAACCATCAGGTGCATTTGTTGTAATGGGAGTGATTGATTCTCCACCAGTGAATGTTTGTGTCAGACTCTGCTTTATAAATTGACCCCTCATTTAGCAGCCATAGGAACCTTCTATTATAAACTAGAAGGAATCACATTAACTAAAATAACACTCTAAACCAGGGCTTGAAATTTCCACTTGCCTGCTCACCAATGGTGAGTGGAAATTATGGTGGGGGTGAGTGTGTCCCCCAGGGCCATCTTGCTGAGCAGGTTTGGAGCTCAGGATGGATCTGTCATTGGCACTGGGAGCCGTCAGACTTCTCAATAGCTGAGCGCAGTGAAAGCAAAGCAAGGAGTGTGCGCTGTGCTCTCTGCCTCCCCCTAGGGTGCAGTACCTGGATATGTGAGTGAACAATGAAGTACTGCAACTTTTTATGGGGGGGGATGTGGTGGTGTGTGTGTGTGTGTCTGTGTATGCATATACAGTTGTACATGTGTCTGTGTATATGTACATGTGTGTATCTGTACATGTGTCTGCATGTATGTACATGTATGTGTGTGTGTACATGTGTCTGTGTGTGCATGTATGTGTGTGTTGGTGTGTATGTACGTACATGTGTCTGTGTGTACATGTGTCTGTGTATGTATGTACTGTATCTGTGTATGTATGTAATGTATGGTTTGTTGGGATGGAACTTGGGTTTTCAGAAGAGTAGAGTTTGCATTAAACCATATCTGTTCAAGGTTTAAGGACAAGCTGAACTATTTGGCCCATTCTCCCAATTGAACTTCTTACTGAAAGAAGGTGGAAGTCACTAATTCACTCATTTATTGACTGTATTATTGTCACAGGGAGGGGGGATTGGGGGTGAGGTGGGGGTTTGGAGCATATTATATGTTACACTATAGATACAGTTGTATCGTGTAACATGAACCAAATGGGGAACTTATCCTTTAAAACTACAGTCATAATTGATACTGTAGATTTGAATATTTGTTCTAAAGCACCTCCTCTCCAGGGATAATAAGCTTGAAGGATCAGTTCTCTGTTTAACAAAAAATAGTAAATGCACATTGTTTTGCAGATAAATAAACGTGCATTGACTATTTTTTGTTTTAGGAGCCTGGAAAGCAGGTCTCCTGCAGGCTGTTAATGTAATCTGTCTGCTTGTACCTCGTATGAGCAGGCAATTTTACACTGACAGGAAGGATCAACTAACTACCACAATGGTCAACAGCGCCAGCATTCATTGAAAACTACAAACCAACCCTGCACGGTGGCATTTTGTAAAAATTGTAACAGCTAGTAGGGGAGAATATCCCCTGCTAGATGTCACATCAGGGGATCAGTTATATGTTACACCCAGAATATAGGTGTAACATGTTGCAAAAGGTGAAACTTGTAGTAATTTCCTATAATGACAATAAATCCTCCAGCTTCTTTAGATAAATAAAAATAGTGAAGTGCTCTGCTTGATAGAATAAACGAAAAGCAAACCGCATGCATCAAAAGCGCATACATTTACATAAAACGGGTCTCCATATAAATGCATGTGTTTTTGTTGCATGTTTTATTGATTTGTGTTTTTTTAGCAGCTCTTTTGGTGAAATTTTTGTGGGAGCACTGTGGTAAGGAACAAAGGACTTCAGTTAGTAGCGTGGGGTTCATATAGGTATTTGCCTACCATCCCCTTTATTTGTTTTTTTTACCTTCTCTGAACTCTATCCAGTTCAAGGATATCCTTCCTGAGGATTGGTGACCAAAACTGAACTACATACTGAAGATGGGGCTGAACTAGATTTTTGTAAAGTGGTAGTATTATCTCTTGACTAAATACACTTTTTTAGCATGATAGTAGTCTGCTAGCCTTACTAGCCGCAGCTTAGCATTGCATGCCCTTAAGTGCATATTTTTCAATTAACTCTTTGCTGCCATAGGCATTTTTGCATTTTTTTTCACACGTTTATATAGTCATTTTAAGCTTGACAATCATGGAAAAACCCCAAATCAAAGACCATAGAGAATAAAATATTAATAGTTCCATTTTTTTTCACATTAAAGTGTATTTAAACAATAGCATATAAACAGTTAATAAATCTTACATACAGAGGAGATGAATGTCTTATAGGTAAGTACAACATGTAGTACTTATGGTATGTTAATAACATCAAAAGTATAGAATAAGCACAACTAGCGCAGTTTGAAAGGCTCCCTATTTGAAGGAGAGAAAAAAGAAGAGAAAAAAGGGAGGGTTTAGCATTCTACTTCAAAATATACTCAAGCTATTTACGATGACAAAGAACAAATCTTCCAAATATATCATGCCAATGTTCATTGTAATATCAATTGATATGAAAATATCAATGTGTTTACACTCATATGAAATCAGAATTTGTAAAGTCAGCAAAAGTTTTAGTTTTAATAGAAAGGTATATTAATGAGATTATTTGTTTATAGAGCAGGTTACCTGCAAATGTTGTATCTCTTATTTAATATGTCATATTATTGTGGTAAGGTTGAATGGTATGAGCTGTAATATTCTTTAAGACCTGTAATAATAGATGAAATGAAATCAATAGATAGAGAGTTGGGTATGTTCCCCCAATCCTATCTCATCATCTCAAGCTTTTTGACGTAACATAAGTATCAGCAAAAGGTGAATAAGAACCAATCTTTCCAAATTTTGTTAAATAGATTGGTATTATCGGAGGCCATGGCTAAAGTTTCTTCCATCTCATATACTAAGTCTACTTTTTTAATCCATTCCTTGATAGAGGGAATTGAGGTTGACTTCCAGTGTAAAGGGATCAGAGATTTGGCCACATTGAGTAGGTGGATGGTCAATGAGCATTTGTATTTGCTTAGAGGAGCAGGGGAGATGTGTAGTAGGCAGCATGCAGGAGTGAGTTCTAAGGTTGTGCCTGTAATCTGGATAATTAATTGTTTTACAGAGTTCCAATAAGGTAGTAATTTGGGGCACTGCCACCAGATATGTACAAATGTGCCTAGTGTATTCTCACATCTGCAACAGAGGTCAGAAGCTTGCGGGAGCCATTTTTTAATCTTAACTAGGGTAGTGTACCATTGTGTCAGTATTTTATATGTCATTTCTTGAGTTCTGGTATTATTGAACACTTATGTGTTAGGATACAGGCTTTTTTCTGTTGATCATCAGGTATCTCCACTTCCAAAGAGGATTCCCATATGGCCTTAAATTTCTCAGGATAAGGTGTTTTGTAATGTCAAAGCCAAGAGCAGGAAATGGATGTAGGTTTTTCCACTTTTTGGCATTTAATGCATAGAGATTCAAATGAATTCAGGGGTCTTAAGAAACTGGTCTTTGCCTTATAATTAGTCAGATAAATGTGTAACTGGAAGTAAGACCATAAGGGAGGCGTAAGAGTGTTGCAATCATTTTTTCAGCATATCATAATTTTTTACCATGCCTTTATGAATTCAATGGTAAGCTAAGATTGGGTTATCATTATCCAAGATAAAAAGCCAGTGTTTAAGGCTCCCTGGTGTAAAATTTGAATTGTGTGCAAGAGTGGTTAGAGGTCCTGGTGTTAAGAAGATCAGTTCTTTCTTGGAAATTGTGTGAAGTATTTTGAGGGTGGCACATATTAAAGGGTGTTTTATTATTGACATAGGTATGCTGGACCAAGGTAGCCAAGGAGAAAATTTTAAGAAGAATGGAACAGAGCCAGCTTCTAGGTTTATCCAAGCTTTATGACTGGTGTGGCAATGCAAATCTAACACTCTTGTGAGATGAGTGGTGTAATAATACATTTTAAATCCCTGGTAATCCCATTCCTCTTTGTGCCTTGGGTTTTCAGATCAAGTGGAAGCATATTCTAGGTTTTTTGTGGGCCCATAAGTACTGAATTTGGAGCGGTTTAAGTCATTTAAAAAAGCTGTGTGGGATCTTGATAGGTAAAGCGTGCATTATACACAAATCCTTAGGAAGACATTTTTAAAATGACCACCCTACCAAACCATGAGAATAATCTGGTATTCCATGTTTTAAGGTCTTGTTCAATGAGTTAAGCAAGGGAAAAAAATTATGGGTAAAGAGTAGTGAGGTTCTGGATGTGAGCCAAATTCCTAAGTACTTTAAGGCTTGGGGTACCCACTTAAAGGGGCAGTTTTGTTGTATTATGGCAACCATCTCTGGAGGTAGGATGAGATTTAATGCTTCTGATTTGCTATAATTAATTTTCATGTTAGAGAGGTATCCAAAAATGGTGAATTCTTGTATTAGGTTGAGGATTGAGGTATGGGGCTGCGTGTTTAAGAAAAGTAAATCACCTGCTTAATCAGCTATATTAAACTCTTGTCCTATTATATTAAATCTGGTTATAGAAGGGTCTAAATTAATGTCCTGATAAAGGGTTCTAGTGTCAGAATAAATAGAAGCGGTGAGAGAGGGCAACCCTGTCTTGTGCCATTACTTATGGGTACTGTATCAGAGAGTATATTATTAACTTTAATTTTTGCATTGGGGTCAATAAAGTGTTTTAATCCACGAGAGCATATCGGACTTCAAACCAATATGTTTATATGTTGCCCACATAAAGTCCCAAGCCACTCTATCAAAGGCCTTCTCTACATCTGTGGATAGGCGAAGTCCCTCTATAATGTGTTTTTTAGCAGAATGTATTAGGTTCAGTTCTTTAACAACATTATCCCTGGCCTCCCTGCCAGGAATAAAACCAGACTGTTCGGGTCCCATGATGTGAATGAGGAAAGGTCTAAGTCTTTTAGCAAGTATCTTTGCCAATAGTTTTAAATCTACATTTAGTATGGAGATGGGTCTGTAGTTTGCACAGTCTGATGTATCCTTGACCGGTTTAGGGAGTACAGTGCAGTGAGAAATGAGTTAGGGATAGTCTGTGTTTTCGTTAGAGAGTTCATGACCAATAAAAATGGGGTTTTAAGAATTTCAGCATACATTTTATAATAAATAGCTGTGAATCCATCAGGGCCAGGACTTTTTTCCAGTTTAAGGTCTCTAATGGCCAATAAAAACTCTTCTACTCTGAATGGTCTCTCAAGGTCAGCAATATCTGCCACTTTCAAGGAAGGTAATTTACTCTTCTTTAAATATTTTTCTATAGCTTGCAGCCTATCATCTGGGGTTCCTTGTGGCTTATGTTGGAGGAGGGGTAAATGATATAATTTGGAATAGTATTTGTGGAATTGAGAAGCAATTTTCTCAGATTCAAATTCTATTTTTTTGATTTGGAATCATTATTAATCAAATATTTTTGATTTGGAAAATATTGTTGGCTATGGTGGCCTCTTTCAGGGCTCTAGCTAAAAATTTGCCACTTTTGTCCACCTGCTCGTAGTAGATTTGTTTTTTGAAAAAAGTACCCTTTTTGCTCTAAGGTCTAGCAGGTTATATAATGAATTTTGAGACTCTAAAAGCTCGCAACTAACCTTAGAAGCCATGGATTGTTTACTCGCTGTTCTAGTGACAATATTTTTTGAGCGAGTGTTGTGATTTTTTTTTTTAATTCTCTTTTTGCATTTGGATCCAAGTTTTATGAGCTCCCCACTTATTACACATTTATGTGCTTCCCATGTGACTAAGGGGATCATTTCACACTTTGAGTTGAGTTCAATGAAATTCTTTTTTTTTTTTTTTTAATTTAAATATTTATTTATTTTCAATATAATATACACATTTCTTCATCAGTTTCATATACAA